TTTTTTCCAGATCCCCTTTTGTTGCCAGTTCAGTGGGTCCAGGTGGTTGAGTATCAGAGTGTTCCATCTCATTTTCCTTTGGGGTTACTGTAGGTGATTTGAAAGTCTGGTTTTGAGACATTTATTTTTTTTCTTATTTCGACTTTGGGGGCAGGGGTAGTGCTGTTGGCACCTGCAGAGCTCACCTCATCTGAGCTGGGAGAGGTGGGACAGGGGCCAGGAGCAGCGGTAGGGATAGTGGCCCAGAAGCCCCTTCCTCTGGGCCTGGAACAGAGGGAGGGTTGGTGGCCTGGAAGCCCCTCCCTCTGGACCAGGAGCAGTGGGACAGCAGCTCAGAAGCCCCTACCTCTGGGCCAGGAGTGTTGGGACAGATGGTGGCCTGGAAGCCCCTTCCTCTGGGCCGGGAGTGGAGGGACAGATGGAGGCCCAAAAGCCCTTTCCTCTGGGTTGGGAATGGTGGGACAGATGGTGGCCAAGAAACCCCTTCCTCTCAGCCCAGAGTGGTGGGACCCCCATAGTATTTGTACAAATGGTATGGGCTGCCAGGGATTCTTGATATGTAAAACCTAGATTTTATTTTCTTTTCTCTATCTACAATTCCTTGTTAAAGAAATCACTGCATCAGAACATTCTGCTGTAAATTTTGTGAATATGAGACTCTATTGTGATAATCTAAAGTGCCTTACTAAACCTCTGGATTTTTGGGTCATAAGAGAGCTTTTAGATTAGATTATCTGGAACTTAATGAGATGAAGAAACTGCACCTAGTCCTGTCCTATTTTATTTCCCTAGATGAAAATGAGTAGGAAAACATAAACAGAAAGGATAACATTGGCTCTTGGCTTTTCGATGTGTAGGAAACAGAAAATGTAAGAGGTAGTAGTTTGTTAAAAAAGAGTAAGAACAATAAAGTAAACAAATGACAAGGCAAGAAAGTACAATAGAACTTCTCAGTTAGAAACAATTATGTTTAAAATGAACATCAATTAATATTAAAATAATAACATCAGATAAATCCAACCAAGATAAAAAGTCTCTTTGTTGACAATCAGATGCCATGAGATTGAATTAAAAAGAGTTTATGTTTTATCAGGGAACTTTACAAACAGGCTAGCTATGAAATATTGGAGAACAGAAATAAAAATGTGCAGTTACATTACTAGCAGATTTAATATTAAAGCAATAATGGAATGAAAAAAGAGAATTAAGTGAAAAAGAAAGCACCTAAATCAAAGAAATAGGTAAATAAATATTTAAAGTATTAGTAGAAATTCATGGAGAACATGGTTTTCAAAAATAATGAAAGAAAAAGAGGAATTAATTCAATATAATACTTCAATATAAAACATATTAGGAAACACATTTATGAATCTCTGTGAAATAGTTTTTGAAATGTATTATGAAAAAGAAAAAATCTTACAACATAGACAATTATTTTCTCTGATCAAAATCAATGAAAATTATAACATTTTATTTTACCAAAATCAATTATAATAAAGCACAAGGATTATAAAATTACCAAATATTTTGATTTTTTAGAAAAATACAGTCTAAAGAGGACTTGAAAACTAATTTACTTCAAATTTATCAAAAAAATGAAAAAGATAACACTTCCTAACAGAGTTGATACATTGCTAAAGCTATCCTGACAAAAAATTGATTTTTAAATATTTCATTGTGAAAAAAGAAAGATGAATGATAAATGGAATTACATCTCATCTCAAGAAATTATAAAATGTTAACTAAATGCAAGATATTTGAATTAATAAACAATAAAGCAGAAAAATGATAAAAATAATAGAAAGGACAAGTTTTTCAAAAGCCACTTTTTGAAGGATTAGAATATTAGATACATCTCTAATAGTTCCCTTGGGGGAAAAAATAAATGTTAAGAAATGGATATTTGCTGACACAAGTTGTTTATTTTTTTTTAACCTCCATGGACCTTTTATCTTCCTTAATCCACAGAAAATGGTGGTGGTGACTGACATCTGAAATCAAGTCACAAAAATATAGCACAGCTTCTCTCTCCCATCTTCTCCTTTCTCCTCCTCCTCCTCTTCCTCCTCTTTCCCTTCTTGTGCATGTCTTTGGAGATCTAAATGATCTTGTAAAATGTCCATCTACCCCAATGCCAACATTGGAGAGATCGTGGTAGCAAGGGTGCCAATGTGTGTTACGTATTTATTTAACAAATATCTTCTTAAATCTTCCTTAATATTCTGAGTAAACAATATGATAAAGATGTTAGAAATCCCTATCCCATTTTTTTTTTTTTGGTACCGGGCTCGAACTCGGCTCCTTGAGCTTGCGCAGCAGGCAATGAAACCACTGAGCTAAATCCCCCGCCCACTGCCCAATTTTGAATAAGAAAAAAACCCAATTAAATAAGAGAATAGAATCTAATATGTCAGTGACAAGTGCTACAGAGAAACCAAGGAGAGTACTTGAGAACAATTACAGTTTTAAATAAGGCACTTATGGAAAGCTTCTCTAAGAAAATAGATTTTAGCCAAGACTAAGAGATCAGTGGCAAATCATCAGGTTATCAGGTTACCTGGGTAAAAGTTTTTCCAAGTAAGGAGAGAATAGCATGGCACAGTTGAGGAGCCACAACAGGTCAGATTTTTTTGGAGCAGAGAAAGAGAAATGAAAACTAGAGCATGTTCAGAGAGTTTACAGAGATCTATTGGATGGCCTTGATTCCAGAAGTGATATTATCTGACTTTAATGTTAATACAAACTGAGAAGGTAGAGGATTGAGAGAATCTTCAGAATCATCTAAAATCACTGTGACTCAAGCCATTGCCAATGATGAGAGAGAGAGAGAGAGAGAGAGAGAGAGAGAGAGAGAATAGTCATAAGTGAAAAAATTAAAGAAGCATGTATTGGAAGAGAAGTATGATTTACCTAGACATTTGGAATTGAAATCCAAAAAAATCAATGACCATCTGAGTGGATAAACAAATGAGAAGTACAATTCTATATAGAAAGTGGAAAATATGGAGGAAATTGATTATTCCTTTGCAAAATATAGAGAGTAAAACCAAACATGGGCAAAGGAGAAAATAAATATTGAAGATTAAATTGAAACAATGGTTTTAAAAATGGAATATTTTTTTAAAACATATGAAGACCAAATGCTCTACCTACTTGAAGAATACAGACATGCCAAAGTTTGGAGGCACTAGGAGTACAACAAATATAGAAAAAATTTAATTAAATGTGATAAAAATTATTGAGCAAAAGCAATAGCAAGCATCAGTCTGTGTAATAATACAAGAGCATTTATTTTAAAATAAAGAACAAGAATAGAATGCTTGCTATCTGTTATTATTCAGCATTTCTTCAGAGATTCTCCTGTCTAGAATAAAAGTGAAATTTTAATTAGTTTCATTTTAGAAAATTATTTCTTTTTGCTAGCATTACTGAATATCTAAGAAAACCCAAAAGAGTTTATTAAAAACTACTTGAATTTATGTAGAAATGTCATAAGTGTCTGGATTAAAGGAAATATTCAAACATCAGTAGCTGTCTATTATAGTAACAAATATAAGATAGAAATAAAAAGGAAAATAATACAATTGCAAACAAAACAACAATTATAACATTTTGAATAATTTTAACATGAAATGTGCAAAACCTATACAAATGAAACTATAAAATCATGCTGATACCCAAAAAACAAGAATGGAATAAATGAAAAGTACACCACACTGTGTACCTCTTTTTCAATGATGACTGTGACAGTCTATCTCATTTCATGAAGTGACTTTGGTCCTCTTCCCCAACCCAGCCATCAGACAAGTGAGTGAAGAAGCCTTGAAATGTTTTTGGAACCAACCACCATCTGAATGCAACTTTGTGAGAGTCTCCAATGCGGAAACTTCCAGCCAAGTCACTTCTAAATTCTTGAAATTGAAGAAATCTAGAGAAAACAGTAAATCATTGTTATTTTAAGCCATTCCATTTCAGGATGATTTGTTATGCAGCAAAAGTTAACTAATATGTTAGATATTACATTGAAAACCTTACTATTATACCAAATATACACTGTCCCTTAAGTAAATGACTTGAATGAAATTTCATCAGACACTTAACAATTTTATGCTCTCTTTTATCCTATGATAAAAAGGCACATTAAATTTTGTATAACACATAAATTTCATGAGATAATCAAATATATTTTAAAATAAAATTAAAGTAGAGATGTTTTTCAGTTATAATAACCTATAGAGGTATTGTGATAATGCTGTAAATAGAAAGAAACAAATTCAAGTATGGAAAAATTTAATATATGAAAAAGATGATAATTCTATTGAGTAGGGAATAATGATTAACTTGGAAATATTGCTGGTATAGTATGATAATCATAGATAATGTACTATACATTTCAAAAAGCTAGAACAGATTTTGCATACCTCTCCAAGAGAAAAGATAAATGTTGAGGAGCTTCATACGTTTAACCTGAGGTCAACATTGCACATTGTGTATATTTATGGAACACTTCATGGTTCTCCATTATTATGTACAACTTTTATGTTTTTATGTATCCATAAATTCAATAAATAATTAATTTGCATTTTCCTACGTTTATGAGCATTTTTCATTGTCCATTTGTCATTTGTACTTGCTTTCCTTCAAATTGCTTATTAATATCATGAAACTATATTTGCATTCATTGAATTTAAAAGCAAACATGTATACTCAGTACTATCATAGACATATTTTAGTTGAAGGTTAAAAATGATAATATATAAGTAAAATTGTTTAACCTAGAGATAAGTGGTAGAAACTTTTTTAAATATGGAGAGAACTGTGGAGTATAACTCTGGGGGGAATTGGCTATTACAGATATTTAATCCAGAAAGTCATCTCTAGTAGAGTGAATTCTCATCAGAACCCTTAGTGAAGTGATATAGTAAGCCAGCACATAAGTGAACGCTATCACACTGCAAGCATTAGAATAGCAAATATGAAGAGGTTAGAGGGAACATTTAGTGTTCGGGGTATTTAAGTAAATACTATATACTGTTCATATACTGCTGTTGAAAATGTGAACTGCTTTAGCCCATGTGAAAACTTAGCAATATCTCTCAAAATTGTACATGTGCTTTAAATTCAGTAGTCTTATTAAGGGAAATCTATCCTATAGAAATGACAAGAGCCACACATGAAAAACCTGCATGCAAAGGTATTTAATAAAATATCACTTATGGGAGTAATTAAGTTTACTGTTTGTAGTTTGCACCATTCTAGATAAAGAAAATCCTTAAATGTAAAACTAAGTTACCCTGGAAGAATATGCCTAGGTATTTGGATGGGCCTTTTATATTAAAATAGATTGCTCAGAATATATAAAGAAAAAGGCATTAACTACATAAAAATTTAGGCAACGTGACGATAAAGAAAAAAAAAGTGAACTATTCAATAAATTGGGGTTTATTGTATATGTTTAGAATCACCTGTACAATCACAAAGATTAAATGTAGGTCTATGGCTGTTTTTATTAAGAGATTTCTTTTAAAATATTGGTGAATGAAAAGTGTAATAAGGAAAGAGGTATATGAAAATATTATTCTGTTCAATGATTCAAAAAAGAAATCCACCATCATGCTTTGAAAGAAATCTTTGTCTGCTATTCTTAATGTTTTTCTGATGTTGAGATGTTTCAAAATATAATTTGCAAAGAGATTGAGTAGCATCTTGGGAAGAATAAACTGAACATATTTGACACACCCACTATTTAGCTGATTGGAGATTTTAAGATATTTAGGGGAAAGTTTTTCTGCACTGCCACCTCAAGGACAGCTGTAACCCTGGAGGACAGTGCTCACACACTAAATCCCTTTTCTCTTGGGGCACTAGGCTATAAACTCAGTCCTGCACAAGAGGCCCTTGCCTCCACACAAAGTGAGGAACTTCCCCCAACCGAGCAGTGCTTACTACTGGAGGGGTAAATTAGCTCACTTCTGAAACTCAGATAGTGTGGCTTTTCCATCCTCCACAACCTTGAATAAAATTATATTGCTGGGTTCCCTTTGCTGCTTCTTTCATTTTATTTCTCAATTTATACATAACCTAGGCAGTAAAAAGACACATTGTTCAACTCCCATCAAAGATAGGTGGAGCATACACAAGTATTCGTGTGGAGTTATCTGAGCATAGACTAGAGATGAAGTATGCACAGGTTGTAAGGGAAGATAAAGGAATGAAGAAATTGAGAAAAGGGATAAGCTAAAAAGAATAAAAAAGGTTAATCTAAAAAAGAGATTCATAATGTTTTTACTAAATGTTAACGATTGTGTATGCATGAAAGAAATACTTGAGAAGTATCATCATCAACACATTAATGGTGCATCTGATTCTGGTAGGATTTTAAACAATCTTTATTTTCATCTATATTTTGAAAATATTTATAATGTTTATGAATATTTATTTTTTACAACATGAAATATACATAATAATAATAAAGCTTGGAATGGGCTTATATTACTCAAACATGATTTATTCTTTATTGCATCATTGGAATTCATTGAGTAACCACTTCTAATAGATGCTGATTCCACTGGCAAAAGGATAAATGTTCCAACTCCAATAATAGTGTAAGGGTAGTGGGAGGTTGGACAGCCTTTTGAAAGTTACAGCAAGACAATAAGACTTCCTTGAGAAGCTTTTGGAATCCTTCCCTAAATAGCACAACACAGTTGCACAGGTATACTCTCTTGAAGTAGGGAGAAGGGACTCTCCAATTCACTCCCTACAGATTCTCTCCTCTTATTTAATGCTTATTGAAATTCAAGGGCAAGAAATTTGAAAATTGTATCAAAATGTTTCCAAGATATTTATCAAGCATGAAAACACAGGGACTACTATGCTGCAAAGGTCAGCACTCTACCTAGAACTCTTTCTTCCTTTCTGCTTTAATTTGACCCAGACAAGGCCAGCCTCTGTGAAGTGGACAAAATCATGCTCCTTTCTTGCCTCCTCAAATAATCAAGTAGGTTTGCCAGACAGACCAGACTCTACACCCTGACACAATCACTATTATCTAGTCTCAGGCTAGGTAGGCAAACAGAGAGTGAGATTCACAGGTAAATTTGCAGAAATGTGGAGGACAGTTGGGCTTAATCAAACTAATATCCTCTGCTACATATCACTGCATATTAGTGAAACCTAGCAACCATTCCCATTTTTCTATTGAGTATAGTTTCCTCAGGAACTCTGTGAAGAGGCATAAATATTTGAAAAGGCAAAGTTTGACTGTTCTGGTTCTCCATTTGTGATACTCAAAATACTTTCAAAATATTACCCATAAAACATAACAGTGAAAAGATCTATTGGAAGTAAGAAAATAAATGGAAATTCTGTCACCGTGTATAACATTATTTCAAAATATCATGATAAGACATTAAAACATTAAAATCAAGATTGATGCCTTTTTATTTGACACAGTCTGTATATGAAAAAGTCTGGAAATTTAGGTTGAAAAAAATATAACTGGGTTATATTCTTGCCAGTTTAATCAATGAAATACTGGAGGGACTACAGATATGATGCACAGGAAAAATAAATAAATTCTACTTTTCAAATTTTTATATTTTTTTTACATTGAACTATAAGCATATTGTTGGTAAATGGAAAAACTTGCAATAGGGCTTATTTAGACTGGAACATGTTAGAAATTAATTAATGAACATATAATAGAAGAATAAGGAATATTTTTGTTAGATGAAGAGGAATAGGTATATTGCAGAGGATTTACAGTTATTTCTCTCAGTATAAGAACTGAAGGGAAAAGATTTGAAGTGCTACAGTTCAACCTGATTCACTTAGTACCACTCCCAAAGATCAATGGGTAGAAATTTAATCAGGCAGAATTCTCTTAGCATATAAGAAACATATGTTAATGTTCTTAATATATTAGGAGTTTCTAATAATTGGATGACTTCTACTTGGACATCCAAAAAATAGAATTAATTGTTGCTAAGTTATTTCTCTGAATGTCTGTTGCACAGTGTCTCAAGGGAATAAAAGTGTACATAGATGAAATGCATGATTTTACTATGCATTTTACTGATAAAAGAATATATAAAGGAATATAATTTAATAATAATAATAAAATAGTGCTCTTTTTTGGCAAATTCAATTTAACCAGTTGATTTCCACAAAATGCTTTTTCACCGCTACATGACTGTGTCTGTGATTACGGCTGTTAAATGGATGCTATGAATTCGATTTGAAACATCCCCCAAACTGATGTGTTAGAGCTTGGTTGCTGATGGATTTTAAGGAAGTGAGGAGACCATGAGCGCTTTAACATCATCAGTGGATTAAGCTATTGATGAGCTCATAATTTGATGGCATTATGGGGAAGGAATGGAAACTTAGGTGGTGGGCCTAGCTGAAGAGAGTGTATGTGGTGTGAATTTGGAGACTATGTCTTACACCTGGCTCCATCACTCTTTGGCTCTTTTTCTGTTTCTCTGCTCTCCAGCTCTCATGAGGTGAACAGCTCTCCTCCACCCCTCCATTCCTCCATGATGTTCTTCCTTGCCAGATACCTAAAAAGGATGAAGCAAGTTGATTGTGGACTGAAACTACTGAAACTGTAAACCAAAATAAAACTTTATTCTTTAAGTTGTGTATCTCAGGTGTTTGTCATAGTGACAGAAAGCTGACTAATGCAGAAAGATACAGTTGCAACTTTAATTTTGGTTGATAGTTTCATTTACATTAATAAGGCAAAAATGAAACAGTGAACATGTACTCATCAAAATCTATTCACTAATTCAAAACTTAACTCATTTATCAAAGATATAAATGACTATTTGGCTGAATTGAATAATAATTTTGAATAATACAATATTTCTTAAACTTTTTGGGTGGGAGCAGTACTTGGAATTGAATCCAGGGCCTCAATCATGCTAGGCAGGCACTCTACCACTGAGCCATATCCCTACCCCTATTCCTTCAATTTTTTGTACTACTCACAATGCAATCACCATAGGTACAAAACTTCTTAAATTTAAGCTGGATTATTACCATTTTTCTCCATTACTTTTAAAATCTAGGCAATCGACAAAATTACTAACCAAACCCTGATTTATAGTGATTACCAATTTCCATGGTGTGAGTTTTTTGCTACAATGGCCAAATTCAGACAAACAATTATAACAATGGAAAAAGAAATGTGCCACAGTACATTATGATACAAAAGTGATAAATACAGATACAAAAGTAATAAATAGCCTCACATATATGGAGGTAATAAAATAGAGTACAATTTGTGGGATATGATGTATTTTGAGTGTCTATTACCTTTGATTTTGATGTATTTAATTGTGAGCTCATGTAATTTTTAACAACAAAAGCATTTAACAGTCAGTGTACAAAATTCCTGAAAATCCAAAAAACAACTCTTGTGGATCAAAACAAGCTGAGTTCAGCACACCACTGAAATAATGGTGCATTCTGCACACGAAATTTAGTCATGTGTGTTCCAAAACATTTTCTCCAAATCAAAGTGGAAGGAAAGTTTAAGAGAAGCAATGTACCTTTTTTCTGAGTGTATGGAAACTAGTTAAAACCCCTCTTTATATCTGAAAATATCTATTAAATGATTTTCCTTTACCCTTATTAATTTATATTTTTACATATTTTTTTCAAATTACGCGCACACACACACACACACAGCATCACAGAATTGTAAGAGTAAGGTTCAGTAAAAGATTTCAAGTAGAAATTTGCAGATTTAAAATATTATGTAAAAAAAGAAGACTCATCATCCCCCAATTAATACCCTAAAAAAAGAGTATCAAAACCAAGTAGGAGACTATTTTGTCACCTCACTTGAAGAGCCATTTAAGAAAAGCCAAATGGGGGCGGGGGATTTAGCTCAGTGGTTCCACTGCCTTCCTCAAGAAAAGCCAAATCTCTAAACTCAGTATGCCCACACGTACTATGTTATCCCTATGAAACTAACTACTAAAAGAGAAAAACATACCCAATTTATAACTAGAAAAACACTGTATTTTCAAATTCGATAATTTTTTTTCTAAATTTGAAAAATATTTTAAAATAATTAGTAAATAATGTAATTTTCTAAAATAAAGCCATGCTTTTTACATTTTTTCTTTCCTAGTGCTGGGAAATGTAGATTTTAAATATTTCTGGGATTCCAGATAAGATTTATAAAAATATGCTAGGGACATAAAATTTTTGCTCCTAGATGTTTTAGTACTATGTAAGACAAATGGGTTCACTTTTAATCTAGATTTTGGTATAATGTAGATTTAGACACACACACACACATACACACACACACACACACATATATGTTATTTATATTTAGAAGGTTACAAAATTACTTAGAGGCTTCTCCCTGAGGTAGAAATTCACCCTATGGCAAGATCACCATTTAAGTTGCACAGAAAATTGCTTAGTTTATTCCTTGTTATCTTATTATATTAAATGTATATTCTGATTAAGCAGTAGACAATAGATGTATCAAGCATCATGAGAGAAAAAAATTATGTCTATTATTATTTCAAGTGTCTAATAAATTCTATTTAGATTCATTAGTTTATTAAATATATTTACTTGTTATTTTAATAATAAAAATGGTTTCTTTCTTTAAAGGAATTCAATAAACCCCAGTAATATTAAAATGCTTAATGCTTTTACAAATGCTACTAAAATTTAAAATTTACTGTCTTCCTTTCGAGTCACCATATGACTGGGTTCAACAAAATATCTTATCATATTTTAAGGAAATAAAACTGAAAATCCAAAGGCAGCCAAATGTGAATCTACTTTTAAACCTCATGCTTATATGGAATTTACTTTTTTATATTGTTATATTCACAGATTTTCATTATCTTTAAAATTTGTAATGTATCTAAAAAGATTAAAACTTGAACCATTAATATACTTTTTCTTTTATCAATCTAATTTGTCAAACATTTAAATTTTTGTTTCGCCAAATACTCTTGGTTTTTCTATTGTATTTACTTACCTATTGTGGATTTTGAAAAGTGTGACAGCTATTAAAAAAGGAGAATATCAAGAAGGTTAGTTAGTCCCTTATTATAATCCGAGCAGTCACTGAAATACAAAGAACAATTTGGAATTTTTCATTCCTATTTAATTTATTGAAAAGCATCAGATTTTGGTTGGGATTTATATTTTCAAAGTACTTTACGTATCTATTCCATTTTGTGTGTATATAATAGTATTTTTAATGTTTGAATTTGTCAATCTTAAACCTAGTTTCTTTGAAAAAACCCAAAGAATTAATGGCTTAGACATACTAAATGTTGAATTGGGCTACATATGTCTTATAAATGTTAAATGATGCTATCAATTCTCCTGATGAAAATTAATTTTTATATGCGGCTTCAATAGATGTCACTCTTCGTAAGACAATTTGCTACAAATACTATTTTTGAGTGAATCAATTGCTGAAAGTCTCTTTTTGAGACTCTTTCAAGTAACATAAAATATAAATGTACATAAATACATATGTTTATAATATACGTGTGTGAACATATATACATATAATCACAAACATATATGCACACACATCTGATATTTGTAGTCTTTTAAGATACTTCCTAATTCTTTAAAGTTTTTACACCTAAAATGTATTTTTATAACCTATTCTGTCGGCCACAATTACTAGAACTTGATGTGCTAGTCTTTCAAATATTGCTTTCAACTTTTAAGAACCTTTGATTTTTCTAGACTGGAGTTAACTTATTATACAATTTATTGAAAGCTAATAATTATTAGGACATGTGGTAGGTGGTTATCACAAGTAACATCACACTACTGACTTTATGTACAAGCTACAATAGGGCAAATGGTACAATTAGAGGCACATTCCTTGGTGCATAACAATAGAAGCCTTAGTGACACTGCAAGATTAAGAAAAACTAAAACATCTTTAAAACTACTCATTACCACCAGTCAAAATGTGCATATTTGACCTTTATGGTAATCAGAAGAATCTCTGCTTATGCAGTAGACAGCTAAATAATCATCACTTTCAACACACAGTTTTCCTTGAAGTGACCTAAAGTTAACATGGTTGATCCTGAAGCTGACACAGACATTGAATCAACTCATCAACAATCACAGTGAAAGGCTACTATTTTCATCACATAGGTTACAATGACAGGATAAACAGTGTTTCAGATTTCCCGTGCAACGGACAGTAGGACTTAAATATTGACTGCTGTGGATATTTTGAAGTTTATAAAACTATTTAGAAACTTCTACCTGAAATGCAGATTCACTCTTTCATATGATCATTATGTAAAGTGCATCAAAAATAATTGTTTAATTTATTCCATGTTGTCTTATTATATTAAATGCTCACCCTAGATTCAGAAATCTCTTACTTTGAATCTTTCTCCTTTCCTATAGGTCTACTATTTAACCCTACTCATTTTAATGTTAGAAATCACAACGAAGCATTTCAAATCTAATTGTTACCTCCAAATAACATCAAATCCACACTAAAACTATAGATAATGTAGTAACTCTAATATCTGGAAAAATAAAGACCCTTACTCATGTGGAATAAATTTGAATGCTTCATCAATATCTCTGTTTCAAATATTACACCTGAAGATGTAGAAATCTACAGTTATTATTCTTGAATAATTGGCACTTACACTAACTTTTGTGCTGGTGAATTCATCATTCTCAATATTTCATAGCAAAACATCATGCCAAATACGTACAAAATAATTATATTATAGATGGTATTTCCCAAATGTTTTGGAGGGTAGTGTATCTTGTAGAAACAGAATGATTTAGCAGTCATCAAAACTAGAGCAGGTGGATAAAAACATTTTTAAAAGGTAGCCTAAGTAAGACTTTTTTAAGACACAAAGACAAAGTTCTTCCATATCTGTGTCTTGGCTGGAACTTAAAAGTAGTCATTCATAATTCTCCCTAATGTATACAATATTAATCTATGTGTACCTAGAAAATCTGGCAACTTCCTATACTTCAAAGTCATTGCCTTTGCTATGAAACTTAGAAAGTGCTTCAGGATTCATTATGACAAGTGGAATATATAAGCAATAAGGCATGACAGGGAATGTGGTTATCATAAGATAATCACACCCCTGGGTCATTACAAAGCAAAAGGTACAGTGACAAACCTCTCATTCCCCTGGGGTGTGATTACAGCATGAGAAGCTCACTTCATGCCATTACCTTATGGTTTTATAAAAATCTTTGTTGGGAAGAAAAAGTGGTGTTTTTGTTTTTGTTTTTGCTTAAAGATATTTTTTGGTTTTGCCTAAAGTCAGAAGTTTACAATATTAACAGTAGTTTCAGATAAGCTCATTAATTTATATATGTCTGTACTTTAAAATATACAGCTGCCAAGACCTCTCACAATTCATGACTCTAAGACAAAACCCGTTCTGCAGTTGTGTGTTCAAATGATTCACCTTCAGAAAAAAGTGTGCCATTATCATAAAAAATCTAATGCTTAGCAACAACTGTTAGAAGAAATAATTTGCCTGGAAAGTTATT